GTGGACTCGTATCCCCTGTCCTCCTGACACCTAAGGGACATCTCAGCCTTAGCACCTCCACAGACTGGATTCCCTGCCCACCTCCCCGCAACCCCCCAGCAGGAGGCAGCGGAGCCTAGCGGCAGAGGCGTGGAAGCTGGGGTCCTAGGGTGCGAATCGGGCTCTGGCCCCCACCGCTGGGTGACGCTGGAGACGCTGGCCTCAGTTTCCCCTCTGTGGGCTGGAGGCGACGATGATAACGATACTTCTGTTGCATAGGGTTGTCGCAATGAATTAATGTGCAAAGTGCCCTGCTCCCCATCTGCTGGAAATGACATCACTACCGTCCCCGCTTCTCAAGCCCCAGACGGAGAGGCCGTCCTGGCTTCTGGTGTGTTTGGGGGGGCGGTGTGGAAAGAAACGGTGGAAGTCCGGGTGACTCATCTTCCAAAACATGTCTCCACCTTCGTGTGCGTCTCTCCGTCCAGGAGCACTCCCCGGTCCCAGCCACGTCACTGTCACTGCAGCCTGGGACAACGGAGCAGCCTCCCGACCGGCCCTGTGCGCTGCCCCCAGCCTGCCCTCTGTGTTGCCACCACAGCCATCATTTACTTGAGAGATTTATTTATTTATTGAAGATTTTATTTATTTATTTGACAGAGAGAGACACAGCGAGAGAGGGAACACAAGCAGGGGGAGTGGGAGAGGGAGAAGCAGGCTTCCCGCCGAGCAGGGAGCCCGAAGTGGGGCTCGATCCCAGGACCCTGAGACCGTGACCTGAGCCGAAGGCAGACGCTTAACGACTGAGCCGCCCAGGCGCCCCATACTTGAGAGATTTAAATGGCAACTCAACGTCATCCTTCCTTTCCCTTCTTCTTTTAGCTTTTCATCATGGAAATTTCCAGACATGCACAGAGAGGGAGTAGGTAGCAGACCCTGGTGCACCCCACCAACCGTATTCAATAGCAACAGCATGCTGTCCTGTGGCATCTTTCCCCCCATCTCCCCCCCTCATGCCGAGGCCTGGCTGGATCAGCATGCGACTCTTAATCTCCAGTCGTGAGTTCAAGCCCCAAGTTCGTTAGGCCTGGGGCCTACTTAAAAAAAAAAAAGCAATTCCCAGACAGCACGCCACTTCATCCGTAAAGACTTCAGTGCAACAAAATAATGTGTAAACCCAAAATCAGATGACATTATTCTTCTGCAGAGCACCCTCCTGGGCCTCCACCTCCCCCCTGCTCCTCGCTGGGCTGGCCGTGTCCTCCTGGCCTGGCCCCACTGTTTCTTCCACTCTCCCCTTGCCCTTCTGTTGTCCACACTCACCAGCTTCTCCCCATCCAGGGGCTTTGCGGTCCCTCCTCCATCTGCCTGGATCTCCCATTTCCCAGATTTTTCATGAATGCTTCCCTCTGGCCACATGCATCCTTAGTCCACATTTCGATTTTTTTCCTACTGCAGTGAGAAGCCACTGAGGGACCCAGGCGGGGGGGGGGGAGATAATCGTGATCTGAGTTGTATTTTTAAACCATCATTCTGGCTGCCTTGGAGGATGAGTTGTGGGTGGGGGTGGGGGGTGGGAGCCGGAGGACCGTAGTCTGAGATAATTAAATGAGATGATAGCTATAAAGCACTCAAAGGCTGGTACACAGTCTGTCCCACAGGAAGAGAGCCTGGTCTAGGAGCATACAGGGGCGAGAGTTCTTCAGTGTGGGGTTACCAGGAAGGCTTCCCGCTGCCAGGGGAGCGAGGCTGGAGGGATTCCCCTGGAGGGGGGCAGAGCTGGGGTGCTGGGTGCGACCAGGACCAGCGCGCAGGGGGAGGGAGGGAGGCTTGGCCGCCAGGGGGAGCCCTTGGACTTCCCTGGCCTGGGGACATGGGGCTGCCCGCCTGGGAAATGGGCTGGCTCCGTGCCTTGGGTGTCCCAGCTGCCTGTGTCCGTAAATCCTGTCCTGCCACTTGTGTGGAGGGTGGTCTCGGGCAAGCCATTTGGCCTTCCTACACCTTGGTCTCCTCACTGGAGGGAAGAGAGACCCTTTGGGGGCCAAGCCTCGAATCTGATTTTCCCTGTGCCTTGGCCTTCCATTCAGACTCTCGAACAGGGACCCTGCTGCTCTGGGCACTGAACCAGCCAAAGCCCCTGCCCCCGGAGTAAAACGCTAGGAAGAGAGACTCTGAACCCCCTCTGCTGGGCAGCCTTCCCTGACCTTCCCAGGAGGGTCAGGTGCCTCCTCTGTGTGTCCACCGCTTGCCTTCTTCCTTGTGTTCCTCACGTCTCCCCCACCACAGTGTGAGCTCCTGTGGGTAAGGCGGGTGGATTCATCTCCGAATCCCCAATTGGTTGGCCAACAGTGGGTGCTCAATAAATACCTGCTGAGCCAATGCTGAATGGGTCTTTCGAGCAGGCCAGGAATGGCGGCCTGCTCACTGCAGTCTCGTGGCCTCCAAGGCAGGGGGATATAGCCGGGCCTCAAACCCATGGCCCCCATAGATTCAGACATCCACGGTCTCCACCTCCTGTGAGCTGTCTGGAGCCTGGCTCTCCCTCCTGCTCTGCTTGGCCAGGACCCACTAATAGGGTTTGCCTTGGTCTGGAATCCCAGGCAGAGCAGCTTGGCCTTTCTCTTGGGAAAGAATATTAGCCGGGAAAGGTGTGGTCATGTTTGTGTTTTGAGGGGCCCCTGGTTATAGGGTGGAGGATGGCTGGGTTGGGGCTGGCAGTTGGCGGCGGGGCCCCAGGCAGCCCCGGCAGCAGCAGCAGCAGCAGGGGCTTGTTCCTAAGAATATGGGGAAGGGGCGCCTGGCTGGCTCAGTCAGCGGAGCAGGCAACTCCTGATCTCGGGGTTGTGAATTTGAGCCCCACATTGGATGTGGAGATTACTTTAAAATCTTAAAAAAAAAAAAAAAAAAGTGTGCGGGGTGGTTGGTGCGACCCCAGGCTGAAGCCCAGGTCTCTAGCTCAGGTAAGCAGCAATGCCTCTAGGTTTAGGAAGAACGCTAAGGGCCCAACACACTCGGGGCCAGTGCTGAACTTGGTCTTGGACGCCATGAGTTTGAGGCACCTGTGGCCCACCCGCGGAGCCAAAATGACTAGACGGTTGGGAATGTTACCCCCCCACGGAGGGCGGGATGCAACCAGTTTTTGGGATGAAAGGACAGGAAGTCCCTGGCTGGGGCAGGGAGACAGGGAGGCCCTGACACCTCCAGCCCCCATTCCTTCTAAGTAAGGGTGCTGGGCAGAGGTCCCCCGGTCGCAAGCTGAGGATGAAAGCCATCCCTGGGGGTTGCCCCTCCTACTACCTCCCCAGAAGGGAACAAAGCACCCAGTTTGTGGGGACGGCCTCCAAACTCTGGCTCACACACGATACTCAACCAGCCAGGGTGTGAAACCTGCCCTTCGCAGGCAGGGAGGTCCCGGCCCAGGCTGCCAGGTGGCGGCCAGCAGAGGAAAGGGCATCCTCCAAAACCCCGATCCTCTAGGCTGACGAGCAGAGCTGCTGTCCAGGGACAGTGGTGCAGGATGGCCAGCCGCTCCGGCCGGGAGCTGGGACAAGCCCTTCCAGCCACAGCCAGCACCCATACCTGTGATCGCACGCACGGATGGGCTCGGGTGTGTGGCGACGTCGCCCGGGGAAGGAGAAACAAGAGACACAGGCTGGTTGAGGCCCAGCTGTCAGGACACACGGCGTGGCTCCGAGACAGGCAGAGGCCACAGAGGGGAGAGGGGGCTGCTGGACCGACCACAGATGGACAGGACAGGCTGCAGAAACCCGGGCAGAGCTGGAAGGCAGGTGAGGACCACAGAGATGCTCTGACCGCCCTGCGCCCCACTCTATTTCTCCATCCTTGGCTCCTACGGGATTTCTAGGTGATTCTAGGTCTCCCCATTCCACAGATGAAGAAGCAGAGTTCTGGAACATGCCACCCTCGCTCCCAGTACGCTTGGTCCGGGAACACAGCTTTCCGAGTTGCCCACCAGCTCTCACTGCCTTGGGCAGGTAGGCAGAGCGAAGGCCTCGCTCCCCCTGGACCCCAGAGCACGTCTCCCTGTCCTGTGCCTCCTCAGTGGCCCCACCTTTAAGGTGGGGTCCAGTGCTGCTGTGCTGGGGCCGAGGTGGGGGTTAAGTGGGTTCGTGCGTTAAGCGCAAGGACAGCGGCTGCCGCAGGACAGGCACTTCATGTCAGCTCTGAGGGCTGGAACCTGGGACCCCGGAGACGTCATCCTGCTCGGGAGACAGAGCCCTGGGTGCACCTAGGCCTGGGGCTCCCCCGGGTTCCAGGGTGACATGGGGCAAGGGTTAGGGACGGTCCTGCCACACTGGCTGACTGGGTCTCCACGAGGCATGAACTGTGCAGGTTCACCGAGAAGTCAGTCCGAGCAGGTCCAGGCTGACCTGGCCACACTGGGCAGCTCACCTGGTCGACGTGTTGGACTCAGCTCTCTCGTGCCCAAATCAGGCTCTAAGCTTGCACCACCAAACAATTCAGAAAAGGGACATCTGCAGGCAGGCCCCATCTCCAGGGGGTGTCAGAGATGCCCAGAGCCTGGGGTCCCCTCCCCCGCACCGAGCGTGGGGCACGTTTGGGCATAATAGTGAGGCCCCAGAAAGTGGTGCGGACACAGAAGACCCCAGAACCTGGTGTTACAGTCAATGCTGATGAACATGAACCCCATCTTGCGCGACCCAGGAAGCACCCCCTGGTGTGATGGTGGACAGGACACGGCCTACACTAATGGGGGGACACAGGTCTGAATGGAAAGGCGGTCATTGCTTTAATTCGGGTCGGGATCCACACGGGGGCCCCGCTGTAGTGGGATCACTGCCCATTCCATGGACATGATTGTTTACAAAAATAAATATGAAAAAGCAGCAACTCTTGAGTGATCGAGGAATTAATCTGACAGCAAGTAAATGTGTTGAAGCGTCCGGCACACCTCCTAATTGCACCAAAAGGATCTGGAAGCACTTGGTTTGGTCTCAGAGGCAAAATGGAAGGAGTGGCAGGCCGGCCTCCTCGGCCCCTCACATTTCGGAGTCTGCGTACATCCCGTTGATGAGATAGTCCACCTGCGTGTACTCTTTCTTCCTGTAGCTCTCATAGGCTTGCAGAACTAACAGAACCAAAACTATGATGAGAAGAGTCACCCCGAGCAAGAGCACTGCCAGGAGGAAACCTTTGTTCACCAGAGATGGGGTGAGGGGCTTGGTGGTGACCACCAGGTACTGGCCTTGGGTGCTAAGTGGGCACAAGGCTGTGGTCGGCATCTTCGAGCCCCTGGGACTCCTGGGCGTTGGGGCGGTGGACGCGGCACCAGGAGAGGTGTCAGGCCGCACCTGCTCGGGGCTCTGGGTTGTGGCCGGCCCCGCGGTCCCCCAGGTCGATGGAGCAGGGATCGGCCGGGTTGTGGAGGATGTGGCCTCCCCCTTGGGGGTCGGGCTGGTGTGGGGTGCAGGTGCTGACGCTGTGCTGGTAGTCGGCTCCTGGGCCTGGGCCGTAGTGCTGGTCCCTGCTATGGTGGCCACGGGAGCCATGGAAGCCACAGATGGGCGGGTGGGCTCTGAGGCTGTGTTGGAGAGGGTGGGTGTGGGCCCACTTGCCATGCCAGCCACAGGCTGGGCCGCTGATGCCTGGACGGTGGAGGCTTGTGCGGACACGTTAAGTGCTTGGGGACCCGAGGGGGGCGCGGGGTTGGCTGCAGAGTTGCCGGGGGCGTGCTGGGAAGGGCTGCGGGCACTCGCTGTAGTCCCAGGGGCAGGCTGAGTGCTGGTGGCCGCTGTCGTCAGAGCTGCTGTTCCCGGCAGCAGGCTGCCGCTTGGCATCTGCACGCGAGGGACGCTGACAGTGGTGGAGGACGGGGTCCGCCACAACGACGCTGAGGCGGGTGGCGGGGGTGCCCTGGAGGCTACTCGGTCAGGGGCACCTTCCGTCCCTGTGTCTGTCCTGAGAGTTCCCCCTGCCGTGATCGCAGGGGAGCTGGCGTTGGCCACTGGGCTCCCTGTGGCCAATGGGACAGGAGGAGGTGTCACCGTGGTCATTGTTTCAGACGTTCCATTAAGGACTCTCGTAACTGTCATCACAGATGCATTTCTGTCCGGATTATTTATCTTGTTGAGGACTAAGTGCCATTGAAGTCAAAAAAGGGAGAAAAAGATACCATCACTTTCCATCCTGTGCAGGTAGATGATTCAGAGTGTCTTAATTTCTGGCCTATTGGCCTGGCCTGGGTGGCCTTTCCCCTCAGCCCAGTGAGAACAAAGGAGGTGATATGTGAACACGTTTCCCTCTTACCTTCCCCCTGAGCACATGGAGCCTGCTACCCCTTGGAGGGGCACTTGGCCCCTTTGATGTAAAAACTCCCTCGTTTTCTGAACCCTGAGCCCATCGAAGGCTCAAGAGCTTCACTCTTTGATCCAATTCCCAAAACGTCAGACAGAGTGAAAGTCTCACCTTAGAGGTGAGATTCACCATTAACAAAACCCATCAAACACACACCCGGCTTTAGAAACCAGATAAATCACTGCCCAGATATTCACACCATGAAACAGTTCTTGGCTTTCTGAAAGGACTTGTGGCAGGAATTCCTGGAGACGAACAGTGCTTGGCACAGAGCAGGAGTGTAATGAAATATCTGATGTGTGAACAGATGAATTCCCCAGTGAAGATCAGGTTTATAGAAGAAATTTTGCAGGGCCAAGCGAGTGACCCTCTCAGGACTCAGAGGCCCAGTCCCTTGGGGGCTTTCTACCCAAGCTGGCCCTGGAAAAGTCTGGCCTGACAACCCTCCCCAGCGCAGCGCCTGGGCTGGCCTAGGCCTGCACGCGTCCCTTGGCCTCAGGGTGCTTTGGGATCACTGTCAGCCTGACCAGCAGTCACAGAGCTTTCTCACTTACGTGGATCCTTGATTGGCACTAGGCTCTCAGATAAGGACAAGGAGGAAATCCAAACGAGCACGAGCGCTGTCCACATCTTGTGGGTGAGCCAGGAGCAAGGCTGGGCGGTCCCTGAGGCTCCCAGCTGGCCACTCCTCAGGCTGCTAATGATTCCCTGCTGCTTGGCTGAAGGATCTGTGGTCAAGAAAGGTGTCTGGTCAGTAATGCACAGCCTCACCTGGGACAAGGGGCATGGCACGGTGCCTACTGTGGAGGGTTCTGGAACGTCCAGGGTGTAAATCGAGCTGAGTGCTTTGACCAGGGCCTGGCACCCAGAACAGTGTGATGTGTCTCAGCCACGGTGATCTAGTGATCTGTCCCATGTCTGCATTTGATGGGTTTAAAGGACTCCTTGACCCACTTTCACTATGTGTCTCAACCTTTGCAAGTGCCCACTTTCCTACCTAGAGTTCCTAATGTGAAAGAGCAGTAGAGAAAGGGCCAAGACCTGACCATGCTCCCAAGGCCAAGGCCTTTTGATAACCAAGATTGGCCAAGGTCACATATCAGGCCCAATGTACTTCTGTACACTCCACAATAGCTGACCACACCTTTCACATGGGAGATATCATTTGGCTAGCCAGGCAGCTATCTCCCATTCATCTATCTATCCATCACGTGTCATCCATTCACCTATCTATTATCCATCCACCCATCCACTACCCATCTATCTATCCATCATCCACCCATCTATCCACCCACCCATCCATCATCCACCTACCCATCCATCCATCCAACATCCATCCATCATCCACCTACCCATCCACCCAGCACCCACTCATCCATCCATCCATCATCCACCCACCCACCCATCATCCACCCATCCATCCAATATTCCCTGAGTGCCTGCTCATGTGCCGGGCAGTACATGTAGAACAAAAAGATAAAAGCCACACAACTCTTTCCTCCAGGGAGCCTGCCATCCAGTAGGAGACACAGAAAAGAGGTCACTGCAAGCTGTTGCAAGCATGGAGCAGAGGTGTGACTCAGTGCCTGGAAGCAGGCAGGGATGACACATGGGAAGGCCTTGATATGTCAGTTGGGGGCTGGTCCTCTGTGTGGAGGCCCCAAAGGTGGGTGGGGGAGCACAGGGTGCTGTGAGGCCCAGAGAAGGCACTGAATTCTGGTGGGTGGAGGGGTGTGGCCAGGGAAGGCTTCCTGGGAAAGCAACAGGTGAGCCATGTTCTGAAAGATGGATGGAATCCACCTGGTGGGGAAGGGGTGGGGGAGGCGGGTGGGAGGGCGCAGCCAATGACAGCAGCAGGGCCAGAGGCTGAGGGACAGTGTGCTGTGACCTGGGATTGGACCAGAGATTGGCGGGGGAGCTGAGGCAGGAAGGCGCTTGGGCAGGGGGGACAGATGAGGGGCAGGCATGAGAGAAGCCCAGCGAGGAAGCAGCAGGGGTAGCAATGCAGGCAGGAGGTGACAAGGTCACAGGAGGCCGAAGGACTGGACCAGGGGGTGCCACTGCGAGAGACAGAGGTAGTTGTGAGGACCTGGTCACCCAGCTGTCTGCAGAAACTTCCAGAAATGCCGCAACAGCTGAGCCTCACCAAGAGGAGGACTGGACCCAGCCGGAGCTGGCTTCCCGAGCACACAGGGGTCTCCTCACCCTCACCCTGGGGCCCTCCAGTGTGCTGGCGGGCTGGGGTCCCTCGCTGCAGGGGCACACTGGGGAGCAGAGGGGCCCACTGGCCTCAAGCGTCCCATCACTTCATGCCCTGCTCCTGTCCTGAGTCCCGCATGGCTGCCTGCAGGGCCCAGGTCCTCTCTAGACAACGACACAGTCCCACGCAGTCAGGACTGGTCCCAGGACTAAACAACTGATCCTGGCACAGGGCACACAGAACACAGGCCTGCTGGGAGTGGAGGGCAGGCGATGAGCCTGGGGCTCCTGAGGGCTCCTCTGAAATCAGTCCTGCCTGAAGACACCCAAGGCCTTTGGTCTTTCCACTGGTCCTTACCATGAAGTTCTTCAGTTGCCCAGAACGTCATGGAAGGCAGCGCTCGAGTCATGCTAAGTGAAAATGTCCTGACCAGCTCCTCACCTGGCATGGAGGATTCCCGCGACCCTCCCTGGCCCGGCAACTAGCCCGGCTCCTGGTGACTGGGGCAGGCTCACTGTCTTCCCATGAGCCCTGAGTCACAAATCAATCACTTTCACGCATCCCCATCCCAGCCCTGATCCACATGCCACCCCACAGCTTCCAGAAAGATCCCTGGAACCCACAAAGGTGACCCAGCCTCCACTGCTCAGACCCCATACTATCCCGGGATAACCCCCAAACTCATTAACATGGCCAACGTGGCCTTCAAAATCTGGCCCTGCTACCTCTGCCCGATGGGCCCAGCCCCACTGGGCACGTGGAATTCCTGCAGGTTCCAACCCAGCACTAGGCTTAGCCACCAGTCTGCCCCAACAAGCACATCCAGCCCTGCTGGGAGCTCCGCCAAGCAGCCCCTGCGTGGCAGAAAGGGACATGTAGAGAGTGGCCACACGGTGGTTTTCTATCCCCTTTGATCAGAGGGAACTGTGGGAAAGTGGCCCCGTGACTGGAAAGCCCCACGAGCACAAACCCTTCTGGAAGGCTGGTGCATTCCTTGATGCTTCTCACCCCTTTGCAAGAGTCCCTAGCTTTATTTTAGCTTCAAGTTACACCTTCCATCCAAAACTGTCCGTAAGGGCTCCTGGGAGCTTAGAGGTCTAGGGGATTCAGCCCAGAAGCTACCGATCTGCATCTGTTTTCTTTCTTTTCTTTTTTTTTTTTTTAAAGATTTTATTTATTTATTTGACAGAGGGAGAGAGAGTCAGAGAGCACAAGCAGGGGGAGGGGCGGAAGGAGAGGGAGAAGCAGGCTCCCCACCGAGCAGGGAGCCCCACATGGGGCCTGATCCTAGGACCCCGGGATCATGACCTGAGCCGAAGGCAGACACCCAACCCACTGAGCCACCCAGGCGCCCCTGCATCTGTTTTCTGGAGTATAAAAGGCATTCTTTGTTCTGACAGAAACAAGTGAGGGCAGGGTGGGGAGAGAAGAAACAAACCAATACCATAAGAAGAAAGAACTGAAACTGGAAGGTTTCAGGAACAAAGAACCCACACACCCCACGAGCTGAGGCAATGCAGTTGGGCTCTTGGTAAATAAATGTATTTAAATGGCTCATTCTTTGGCCAGTCACATCTACAGAATGTATTTAAAATGCTACCACTGCTGAGCCTAACGTGCTCCCTGCACGGATCTGGGGTCCGCTGGGGTGGGATAACATGACCAGGGCTTCTTGCATGTACCCCAGGCCTTAGGGACTTCTGCTGCCCCCCTCACCACAAATCTCTAGGGCAGGGTCAGCAAACTTTTTCTGTAAAGAGCTAGACAGCAAATGTTTTAGATTTTGTGGGCCATACCATCTCTGTCTCAGCTACTTAAGTCTGCTGCTGCAGTGCAAAAGGTGGGCCATTTGTAAATGATGGGTGTGGCTGTGCCCCAGTAAAACTTTATTTACAAAAACAGACAGGAGGTGGGACTTGGCCCATGGGCCGTAGTTTGCCAACCCCGCTCTAGCACTGGAATGAACTTCAGAGCGGATGATCCAGCTGAGGGACGGAGGAACTGATTCACTGTGCCCAATGGATTTCCTCCTTCCCTTTCAGTTCCTCATGCAGAACAGACACGGACTGGACTGTCTCGTTCGTGATCTGGTGACAGCCTCTAGTCTGTCTCTTCCTAGGAATGCTGCTGCCACGAGGCTCCTCCTTCACCCCCAGCATCAGTGAGGGGCAAGCATTGTGATATTTCAACACCAGGCCAAGAGAAAACCTCTTGTGGTATCCAGTGTTTGTCACAAGAACAGAAGAGGGCCGCAGAGGACCACATGCTCCCAGCCCCTCCTGTCCATCCCTGCTCGCGGCCCCACCCTCCCGGTCTACCTGGGAAGGCAGAACCTCTGACGGTGAAGCGCCACAGAACAGGCCCCGCCTGGCTGCGGCAAAGCTTGGGCCCTCTCTGGGCTCACTGTCCCGACACCGAGCAGGTGGCCCTGCCTGCAGGGCCATGGACACTCACCAGACGCAGTTGCTCAGGGTGTGCTCTCGAGCTGGGCCGTTGTCCTTCCTGGAGAGTGGCGGGCTTGGCACCGTGTGCTTGCTGGCTGAGGTCTGGCTTTGCAGGAGGGGAGAGCAGCTTCGAGGAGCACTTGCTGGCCATGGCATGCTTTGTGGCACACGTGGGACATGGGCAGATGCCCCGCTCTGGGAACAGACGCATCTACGGTTTGAAAAAAGAGTAAATATTCCTTAGGAAAAGCATAGGGGGAAGAAACCCAGGGAGGAGGGAGGCACTGAAACAGCAGCCTTAAATAGATCATCGTGCTGGGAAGAAGTATTAGAACTTTCAATGTCAAGACTCACGATGTAGCACTTTCTACTGCTGGAATTTCTTCAAAGGAAGCAAGTGGATGGATGTTTAAAGATGAAGGTCTAAAAAGATGTTCATCGCGGCATTATTTATAACAGCAAAACAACTGGAAGGGTTATAGAAGATATGGTCCCAACCACATATAAATACTATGGCAGCCGTTCAGAAATACACTGGCTGGCTCCGTCAGGTGGAGCGTGTGACTCTTGATCTCGGGTTGTGAGTTCGAGCCCCACGTTGGGTGCAGAGATTGCTTAAAAATAAAATCTTAAAAAAATACATAGCTTTCTATTTATTGACACGGGCCGCATGCATCATTAGATGAAAAAAGCAGGTCATACAACAGCATACACACCATGACTCTCTTTTTATCTAAATAGACATTTGTTAAGGGGTCTGGAGAGATTTACACCAGAGCATTAATGATGGCTATGCCTGGGGAATGAATTTACTGGTGATTTCCATTTTCTACTTCATATATATCTACACATATGTGTGTGTATATATATACATATATATCTTTTTTTTTTTTTTCCCAAGCATGTATCGCTTTTGGAAAACATTTCTGAAAGGCTCATGAGAGAAACCAATGTCCAATTTTCTTCAAGTATTTTGAGCTACGGGGCAAAAAGGCACAGAGTAACACCACTGGATATAGTTTCACATGTAGATTTTAATAATTTACGGAAACTCCATAATTTACATATCAGGAATTGCATTTTTCTAGGAGCCAACCAAAACTTTAGAGGAACCAGAAGGACAGTTGTAATGCAAAGATAGTAACCAGCACAAGTGATTCTCTCATTGATGAATATTTAATGTAAACTCGGGAGATCATGAAATAACTCTCACTTCCCACAGGGTCAGATATTAGGAGGTGGTGAAGCGTGAGGAGCGCCACGGGCCCGCTCTCTAATGCAAACACCCACAAGTGCACGCACAGCCACACGCACGCACAACGCACACACACACACAAGCCCGCACACTACCACATATGGGTACATGCGTGTGCAACCGCACACACACTTACAAACACAAAGGTGAGCGCATAGATGGAGCATTTTTCTAAGACTATGTCAAGAAACTCCACAAGTTTCTCAGGAAACTTCTACTGGATACCGTCACTGCTTATTCCCTCCCAGCCTGTGGGGCCAGTGATCACCCCCACAGAGATGGAAATTGGCAGCTGTAGAGCCCAGACCCGGCACTCCCCTCTTCGGCCATGACTCCACCCCTCTGGAATGGGCCTGCCTCCACTTCCCAAAAGCATATTCTAAATGTCAAGATTCACGTGTGAGGACCTGCACTAATCTTTTTAAGTTGACTCACAATGGACAAACCATTAACAAGAATATTAAAATATTTTGTCTTGCAAAGGCTTTAGTGAGCCTTAAGCAAGGGGCCAGCCAGTTACTCTCATTATTAGGGTGCAGGGAGACTAGGTAGACCGAGGCCTCAGACTACAATAGGTGGAAAGGAAAGAGCCCCCTGGGGCAAGAAGGGAATAAACAAGAAAGAATTAAGTTATTATTAAGTGGAAGACCCACAAATGGGGAGACAGGAGTTAGGCTGGTGCTGGGAGTCCCTCTTTTTCAGCGTCAGCTCCCCACAAGTTCTGCTGGGAAGGGGCAGCACCCCTTGAGCCGGTTGACCCTTCATCAGAAAGGCATCCCCAGACTGTGGCCCTAGGTGTCAACTTACTGATCCTTTTCTGGTTCATGATCTCGTGATGCCTTCTAATACCTCTTGTCTCTGAATTCTTGTGTTTCCAGCCTTGGCTTGATTTTTTCTTTAAAAGATTTCATTTATTCATTTGAGAGAGAGAGAGAGAGCACAAGCAGGAGGAGCTGCAGAGGGAGATGGAGAAGCAGGCTCTCCACTGAGCGGGGAGCCCGACATGGGGCTCAATCCCAGGACCCTGAGATCACAACCTGAGCTGAAGGCAGATGCTTGACCGAGCCACCTGGTTGTCCCTTGGCTTGCTTTTTTCAAAAACTCTTTTAGGAACCTGTTTGTTGTATGCTGAGTCCTGTGTGCAGGTTACATGGAATCAGACTCCAAACTTCTGGATTCCTTTTCCTGGCCTAGACAGGTTCCTAAGATCTAATACAAGTAATCCTTAGGCTTGGTAAGGGATTATAAGTGTTACCCCCACATTCCATCACTCTAGTAAGATTTAAATCAGCAGCAACATGGCCTGGGCCCCTACTCCGAGCTGGAGAAGCTTTATAAACCAAGGAGCAGGAAATGCGGAAACAAATACAGGGTAAACCACAGATACCTAATCCCAACACATCACCTGGCTGAACTTTGGCAGCAGAACCCAAGGAACGAACACAGGTTTGTGGTTTTGTGTATATAGACCTTGCCCTGTGGTCTAAAGGATGTGTCTTCGTGGCAGATGGGAACTTGAAGCGGATATCGTCTTAATTACACTGCTTGCTTCCAGGTTTCTGTAAGTTTTGATATCACAGCTAAATGCTGATCAAAGGCTAGTTTTTGCCGGCAAGGTGCTGTGCAAATCTGGCTTTCCCTTGTCCATGAAGCAAGTCCAGCACACAGGTGGAAAATTCGTATTTTAAGTACGTTCCTCACGGATTTCATTGAAATTTTTAGAGATGCTTCCTCTAGGGGGTAAAAATAACTGCACGTTGGTATAGGCAGATTTCTAAGCATGATGTTTATGTCTTATGGCAAACCATGTGGGTGCTGATTCCTCTGTCAGCCTGATCCCGTTAACTGCACATAGTAAGCACCCACGGGGCTCTCAGACACCCGGGAGGGAGGCAGGCAGACGGAAGGGCACAACCCCCTCCCAGGTGGAGGGCCTGGGGGGAAGGCCTGGGTCACCCAAGAGGCCAACTCTTTCTTGGAGGGCAGCACGTCTGGGGCCCAGCCTTGCCCCGGGAAAACCTTTCAGTTCCCCATATGGGAGTGTCCCGACTCTCCCACCCTTCGCTCCCAAACTCGAACGAGCCGGGCCTCTTCCCCGGTTTGGGATCCGCCTGAAGCCCTCCTCCTCCCTCCAGCCTCTCGGTCCCCCATCCGTCCCTTCCGCTCTCCTGTCCTCCTCGTCTTGCACCTGCGCCCGACTGATCTTTTCTCGGTCCCCCTCCTGCCTCTCATGCCCCCATTCAAGCCTCCTCCTGCCCCCACCTCCCTCTTTCGATCGCAAGCCGGTTCAGGGAGCCGTGACAACAGCTCCCCGGACGGCGGCGCGGGCCCCTTACCCGGGCGCGGCAGGCCTGCGGCGGCCGGGCGGCCGTCGGACGGCGGGGAAGTGCCCGCGGCCCGGCGTGGAGACGTGGCCGGCAGCGGAGCAGCGCACCCAAGCCAAGACTGCTCGAGGCAGCCGCCCTGGCTCAGGCCCCGCCCGGGCCGCCCCGGAACTGACGTCACCGGAGGCGGGCCCAGGGGGGGCGGGGCAGCTCCGGCCGGGGCTGAGAGCAGCCCGGCGGTGTCAGGCGCAGCCGAAAGGGAGCCGGAAGCGAGGGGCGTGGCTGCCCCTCAGGCTCCGCCCAGTACGGGGCGGCTCGGGCTCCGTCGCGCTCGCGGCCGGAAGCGGCCAGAAGCGGCTATTTCGGACCGGTGTCCGGCGGAAGTGGCGGTGCTCCGCTTCGGCTGCGGGGCCGTGGGAGCTGGGGGGCCCGAGTAGGGGCCCGAGCCCTGGGGGTGGCCCACACTGCTGCGCTCCTCCCTCACACGGTCCAGCCCTGGGGGTCCAGTTAGTAAGGAATCGTGGGGGTGGTGGCTACAGTGCTTTGAACGCTTACCACGTGCCAAGCCCCGCGCTGGGTTCCGTGATTTACCTGTCAAGTTCGTTGATTTAATTCTGCGACAGCACTATAGGGGCTCTGTGCCTATTTTACAGAGGCGGAAGCTGAGACTCAATGTTTAGTAATTGTAAGACGCGGGAAGACAATGCCGCCAAACGGCATAAAGGAAAGTGTATAGGACTTGACTTAGAAGTAGGCTTTGCAAATGCCTAGTTGTGTGAATCCCACTCTGTGTAAAACTTAGGACCCCCAAGTCCAAAGAAAGCCTGTCTGTGAAGGATGATCTCGTGGGAAAAACAAAAGGCTTTATTTTCAGTGCGTTGTGTAACCTGTCTTGGGGTCCTGGACTAAGAAACTAAACCAGACGGTGTGCAAAGACGAGATCACCTCCCTGCTCTGAGCTCTGGGAACTCCTGAAATGCAGTTTAGAGCTGCCATCTCCAGTTCAACCTCATAGTTTCAAGTCGTGTAGAACTTAGCCTGCAAAAACAAGTTTGCCGAGACCCAGGCCAGTTGGGAGGGTTTGTGAAGACAAGATCCTTTTGCTTTGTGTTTGGTTTGATTTTCCCAACTCGCTCAGATCTAACATGAGAAGTGCAGTATCTCTGTTCTGGAGAAAATATACCCAAATAGCCAGTTGTAGTTCTATGCCTGTTTTCCTCAAAAATCAACATCTGTGACCGTTTTCCTCTTTGGTAAAATCAGGACAATTTTTACTGCTGGGGCTGAAATTACAAAGATAAAGACACAAGCCTCCTCTAAGAGCTCATAGTCTAGGGCAGGGGTCTGCTGGCCCTCTGTCTGCTTTTGTAAATAAAGTTTTATTGGGACACGGTTATACCTTTTATATATTGTCTAGGCTTTTGCCTTGCAAGGGCAGAGTTGAATAATTGCAGCAAAAACCATATGACTCCCAACACCTGAAATATTTACTGCCTGGTCCTTTACAGAAAATATTTGTGAGCCCCCAGCCTAAGGTGTTACTAGAAAATGGTTTTCAGATAACAATGGAACTGTGTTGCCAAGATGGTCCAGAATACAGGGAAACTCATTCTCTTGTAGAGGAAACTTGCACCTTTTCAGTGGATTGGGGTCATCTGGAGCCTAGTGTTGAGCATATCTTTGGGAGCTGCATAGCTGCTTCAGCATAGTATTATGAAGAGTAGAGCAGGGCTGGTGCACTGCTGTTGATGGCAGCGGATGCATTAAGAGAAAGCTTTTGTCTCAGAGTACAGATCATCTCAGGGCTTTCTATGCAAATATAGCAGAGCCCAGGGCTCTTAGTCATTGAACTACATTATTATTGGACTATAGTCCATACTAGATTTCACATGCAAAGAGCTCTGGAGTAACCCTGCCTGGCTTCAAACCCCAGCTCCACTTTCTGGCTGAGTGACAGTGAGTGGGAGGCTTAGACTTTCTGTGCCTCAGTTTTATCTTTCCTCATGGTAGTTCTGTTCAGCAAGGTCTCCATGAAGACCGCCTGAGTAAATTCTGAACCATCACTCCTAGGGAAAAAAACAAGGGCAATATTTCCCTTCATGCTCAACCCTTCATTGTCATTATTAATCGAAGGTTCCTTTTTACTCTGTAAACAGAAAAATAAGGACATGAAAATTATGAGACTTTGTAGAATAAAGATGGATACTGAAGAGGCTAGAAATATAATTCTGTAGGCAGTATTGGGCTGCTGTTCCTGACCTGTCACTTACAGTGTTCAGAAATCCTAAGTTTGGCAATCTCCTAGGTATTTACCCAAAGGAAGTGAAAACATATGGACCCACAAAGACCTGCATGAAAGTGTCTACAGCAACTTTATTCACAATTGCCAAAAACTGGAAACGCTCAAATGACGATCAGTGGGTGAGAGGATATAAAATTTCTGTACATCTATACAATGGACTGCTACTCAGCCAAGGAAAGCAGAATTACTGATAACAGTCACCAACACTGAAGAATCTCAAAGGCATTATGCTAAGAGAAACCAGACAGAAGAAACTACTGTTGAGGAAGGTCATTGAGAGGACATGACCTCCGGTTGACCCGTGAGCTGGCCCCGGGCACTCAGAGACTGCTCAGCCTCTCCCCCGTCCTTGGCATGTGGGTTCTGCTTGCCTTTCCCGCTCCCAGAGGCTGCTCCAAGGATGTAGGCTTGAGATGGTTGACGTGGTGTTGAGAACACCTGTGCGGTGTATGGGACTGAAACTTGTTAAGGCTTCTCTCTCTATAAACTTCCAAGATTCGGCAGCTGGTGCAGGGATTCACTCACATTGATGCCAATCAAGACAAGCCTCGTATGTAAGTTCCCTTCACTTATTGAAACTGCCACCTGCCAACCTGGAGTGGCCTTTCTCTTTCTTTGGTCTCTTCCTGCCCTCTGCATTTTGGGGCCAGTTTCGGATTATACACGGGAAGCTCCCAGATAGGTTACAAACCGACAACTACATACAGTATTATTCCATTTATATGACATTCATGAAAAGAAAAAAGCACAGAAACAGAAATCAGTAGTCACCAGGGGATGGGAGAGGGAACAGGAATTGGCTTAGACTTGCCAAATAAAGTACAGGTTGCCCAGCTAAATTTGCTAAATCTGGCAACTCTAGATTGACTACAAAGGAGTATAAGGGAATTTTGGGGGGTGATGTAGATATTCTATATCTTGATTGTAGGGATGGTTGCACGACTGTATACATTTGTTTTTTTTTTTTTATTTATTTGAGAGAGAGAGAATGAGAGAGAGAGAGCACGAGAGGGAAGAGGGTCAGAGGGAGAAGCAGACTCCCTGCTGAGCAGGGAGCCCGATGTGGGACTCGATCCAGGGACTCCAGGATCATGACCTGAGCCGAAGGCAGTCGCTTAACCAACTGAGCCACCCAGGCACCCGACTGTATATATTTGTTACAACTCATGAAAATGTGAATTTTACTGAATGTAAACTATGCCTCAATACATTTAACTGAAAAAACAAAACAAATGCTCTGCTGTAAAGAAAGGCAAAAATTAAAGGATTGTGATGTTAGTTACATGAGTGTGTGTGTGTCTAAGTAGAACTGAACACTTAAAATGTATGCATTTTGTTGCATGTAAATTATATCCCAATAAAGTTTTTTTTTAAAGATTTTATTTATTTATTTGACAGAGACGGAGATAGTGAGAGAGGGAACACAAGCAGGGGGAGTGGGAGAGGGAGAAGCAGGCTTCCCGCCGAGCAGAGAGCCGGATGTGGGGCTCAGTCCCAGGACCCTAGGATCATGACCCGAGCCAAAGGCAGATGCCCAACGACTGAGCCACCCAGGCACCCCAATAAAGTTGGTTTTTAAAAAATTACACGCTGGATAAAGAGTGTCATTTCGTGGGCGCCTGGGTGGCTCAGTTGGTTAAGCATCTGCCATCAGCTCAGGTCATGATCTCAGAGTCCTGGGGTCGAGTCCTGCATCGGGCTCCCTGCTCAGTGGGGAGTCTGCCTCTCCCTCTCCCTCTGCCCTTTGCCGCCACTTGTGCACTCTCTCAAATAAATAAACAAAATCTTAAAAAAGAAAGAAGAATTTCACTTCAAATTGATAAAAAATCCAACACAGTAGGAAGGTGTAACACAGGGTTACCTGGGTGGCTCAGTTGGTTGAGTGTCTAACTCTTGATTTCAGCTCAGGTCTTGATCTCAGGATTGTGAGTTCTGGCCCCATGTTGGTCTCCACACTTAAAAAAAAAAAAGGAAGATGTAACATTTCTAAATATTCTAAATGGGAATACACCCAATAACAAGACCTCAAAACATACAAAGCAAAATTGGCAGAGGAGAAATAGAAAAACCCCCAACATAGGGAGAGATTTGAATACGTTCCTTTTAGTAATGTATGGAACTGATAAATCCTGGCCTCGTGGACATATAAAGATCACTCCACCAATAACTGAAGAGTCAGTAGCATTAGTGGATGTCCTGAGGGAAAGGATTAAGAGTATGATTTATCAGGGCACCTGCGTGGCACAGTTGGTTAAGCATCTGACTTTCAGGTCATGATCTCAGGGTTGTGGGATTGAGCCTCGTGTCGGGCTCTACCCTCAGTGTGGAGTCTGCTTGTCCCTCTCCCTCTGCTCCCCTCCAACACCCCGCTTGTGCTCTCTATCTCTAAAATAAATAAAGAAATCCTTTTTTTAAAAAAAAATGCTTATCAAATTTGCAGCTAACGCTGGATTTTTAACCAGTTGTGTCTTGGCTCACCTTCAACCCTTGGGTTGGCCTCACAGGGCCACCTTGTCCAGGGCTCTGTGGAGGGTGGCGATGCAGAGAAAATTCTGCTGGCAAACCCTGGGGGCCCCCAGGCAGCAAATACAGATACTCCACTCCACTGCAAAGTTCTCCAGTCTAAGGAGAGGCCATTACCAGCATCTCTTTCAATGCTGCAGAACCTCCTGCTGCCTTCACGGACAAGGGTTGCATGTTGCTGGAGGCGTTCATATTCCAGAAACCTAAGGAGCATGGCTCAGAGTCCAAGAAATGAAAAACTAAGGGTGCAGAGACTTTGAGGTCAAGCAGGAACTCTCA